ATTCATATGTGACTTTTGGTAGAAGCACCGAGTGATTAAAACAGTGGATTTTTAAAATATAGATGTATATACCTACAACCTATTTTTATTTGAATTCAAAAATAAAATTTTGACAACTTTCTGTATTACAAAAATATTCTAGTAAATAAAATAAGTGGATAAACCATGAAAAAATGAATAGCGAGCAAAGTCTGATATTGTGCTAGCTGCAGTATGGTTCTTTGATTTGGTGTCCTCTGTTTAGGATTGATTTGACAATTAAAACCCAGCTACAATAAACAATGGTTAAAGGGACCCTGGCTCAAACATTTTGTAAGTCCATAATATAAAAATTATTGCTAAAATATGTTAACATACATGTATTGCAGAACAAGACATTCTTAATAATGGACAAATGGCTATGACGCCAGGAAAATCCCATGGTTCTTAACCAGACTTTATATCCATCAAGCAGATGATGCTTAAATAAGTTTCTTCCCTTAAAATAGCTGGTAGAAAACTTTTTGTCTAAATATCCAGAATTTGGCAGTTCCCCAAAAAGTTTTTTACTGGCCTGATTCTATATAAGACTATTCCTTATGTTCCACCAGACAGAATGTGTATGTTTGTATGTATTTGTACATTGATACATTCATTCATACATATATACAAACGTATGATTTCTAGGGCCTCATCCTGTGCTTGCTCAGATTGTCTATAATCTCTGTGATACCAGTCCCAAGAATTAGGGCAGAGGCTATGTCCATAATTCATTCTATGCCACTTGCGATCTGCAGCATTGCTGACGTCTGCTGCCTGCTCACTAAGGAGCCTCTGCAATGGACTCACCTGATGCAGTCCAGCTTGGCAACCATATAGGGAAACACTGTGCCAGCCTCCAGTCACTTCATTTACCATTGGGCCAGTTGTCTCTGCTGTGATTGCTGTTGCCACCGTTGCTGGTCTTATTCCTCCACCAGCTCAAGCAATTAGTTGTGACAGCACTGAACAAGTGAGTCTTTAGACCAGTCTTTAACATTCCAGCTATTGCAACATCTCTATAGTCATGTGGTTGTGATCCAGTTGTTTGGCACCAGGATCACATGACATTTGACTTCACTGGCTTGTCCCAAGTGAGGTCACTGTGGAAGGGGGCAGGGAAGGTTGCAAATTGTTCCTGTAAATCACCCACGCTGCTCCTTCTGAGGAGCCCTATTGTAAGATCTCAGTGATCTTGTGGTCTATAGTGCACACTAGTGCCATAGCATCCTTTTCCATCCATATTCACTGGTACTGCAACATCCCCAGACTCATTCTAGCACTCACCCACCGGCCTGCTTACAAGCCTCTCGGGACTTTGCTTGTGGGAAGCTGGCAAGAAGTTGCCAGTTGGGAAGCCTTTACTTACAGAAAGCAAGCAAGAGAGACTAACTGGATTGCCATCGCTAAGTAATATATTCATGATGTGCTTAGTGATGGGAATTCCAATCTCATTTCCCATCATTAAATGATTTGTATGGATTATACTGAAGCGTTTACAAAATAGTTTTGAGTTTTATTTCTGGAGTTCATTCCTTTGAGACAGGAAGCCCTAGTTTGATCTTATCTGGGTTCTGAGGAAGAGAATGTCCTGAAACAACCTCTTCTATTGGGCTTTATCTTTTAACAGCAAGAAAGCATTGTCCATGGAAAAGGAGGATAAAGAATATGGTTTTTGCACATCTTTAACTCCGTGTTTTTTAACTGAAATAAAATGTTCATCCATAGTAATCTTAAAATTGCTTAGTCATATTCTATGTTTCCCAATAAATTAAGGGTGTTTCCAAAATGAAAAACGCTTTATTTCAAACCTTGAAACAAATATCACCTCAAATTTTTCAAAAAACATTTCAGATGAGCTGCAGTTTGACAGAAATAAAACGTGGATTGTGGGTGGTGTTCAGGGTTTATTCTGAAATAAAAGTAATGGGAATCGCCAAGTAATTCTAAACATTGAACGTGACAAGTATTCAATTTTCCCTTTCCTATTTTCTTCCATGTTGATACTGCTTTACTCCAATATATGCAGAAAGCTATCAATTTTAATCATTTGGGGTGCTGATCATCTACCCCTTATTTCCATATATGTCATTTAGGAGGAACAAAAGGTCTTAGATATTGAAAAGTGAGAGATGTTACAAACAGGCTGTCCAGCCTATTTCTTTTATAGATTTCCCAGCTAATATGACTGTTTCTATATAAAAAATTAAAAAGGTTCTTTTGTTCACAATTTCTATTTATTATTCCAATAGTTGGTGTTATTGCTACCAGTACTTCAAAGTTCACTGCTTCAGAGGAGAGCAGTGTCATTTACATAGACATTCACGCTTGCTATTTCCTTATCAACAATTATGCTTCTCTACTATAAGGACATGCATATCACATACTCCCCTTGCTATCCAAATCCATAGTGTCAGGATCACTCCTAGCCTGTAAAGGGGTGAAGAGGGAAGGGGCTGGAACAGTTAGATCTAGCGGTTAATACACCAGGCTAGAAACTTCTATTCCTGCCTTAGGCATAAAAACTGGTTGGATGACTAGATCAATATCTTAGTCCAACTCACTCAAAGTGGTGTGGGGAAAAATAAGAGGAACGAACACAAGGTATGTTCATTGCCCCTATAAAAATAATAAAGGCAGGATTAAAAAAAATCTAAAAATATTAGTCATGCTCTATAGTGAAATGCAGGAACAATTTCTAAGCAACAAAGATAGCTAACAAAATTTAAATCGAGCCTTGCCCTGACAATGCTCACCTCATACACAGACCTATTTCAATAAGTGGGAATGGGAACCATAAGGTCTGTGCATCAAATTAAGCACTGGACACAGTAGAGTATGATTGGCAGATGGATGAGTTACTTGCTCTCTCTCCACATAACCCATGGCCCTTCCAGAGTTCCGAATGTAAACCGCAGACTTCTGTTGGCTAACAGCCAGGGTTCCTAGGATAAAATTGTTTTGACAACCATAGTGCTCTCACAAGAAATTGAGCCTTCTCTGAATGTTTTTCTGGCAGCGTCAGATGAAGCCCTTCCCACCTTTGGGCTTGTACCAGTTTTAAACTTCTACCACAGACAACTTTTAAATCTGACTTTTGCAGTTAGTTTGATTTACAATTGGACAAATAAATGATTTAAGTATGTGAAAGCTAAGATTCAGAGACTCCGTTATTGTGAAGTAGCAACTTTTTTACTTTATAAATTTTGGTTTGGCAATAATTTATCCCTTCTGTAGGATTAAAGGACCTATTACATCAATTCCCTTCTTGAAACTTTTAAGACATTCTAGGGAGTCCTGTATTCTGGAAAGGTTTTTTTGCTGGCAGGGTTAGTGATCTCTCATGGCCATGTCATGCTGTGGAACAATAAGATAGAAAATGGGCACCTTAAATGCCTACTGAGGATGTAGAAGCTGAAAAGTTGTTTTGCCCTTCAAAGAAAATGAAGCAAATGGATGGCTAGAAAGTGGGTTATGAAAATCTAAAAGCCTATGAATGTGAGTAAATATGTATTATTTATTTACATTTATTAAATTTGTTCACTGCCCATCTCGCCACAAGGCGACTATTATTTTGTCTGCTCTATCACAGCCAAAGAAAGAAAAAGAAAGCCAAAACCCACTGACTTTCCTATCACTAGTACATCCTTAAAGAACTATTCTGCAAATTTAACCTCGATGAAACCTTGTTCAGTTTAAAAGATTTGCTGAGGAGGGCATTGCAGACATTGGTGTTTGGAGAAATAGTTTCTGAATCTTAGGCACAAGCATGATGCTTGCATCTATCCAATCCCTTATACTTGATCCCTGCCCAGTTTGTCCATTAAGATCTGGATGTTAATGATTTGGAAAGGGTAAATATATCAGGTAGTGCTCCCCTCCTTTGCAAGAGTTACAATCCCTTTTAAAGACATTACTAGTTGTAGAAATATCATTATCCCACAATTATGATTTGTGGCCAATTGCTTAATAGGGAAAAGGAAGATCAGTTCACACTTTCTTGCAGGATAACAATTTTCTGCACCTGCTTCAACCAGTTTGCAAACCACATTAAAATTGCCTCAGCATTGGGAACTGCAGTGCTATGCAGTTGGTCCTAAAATGAGGTGCTGTTTCTAAGGCTGCTAGGTAACATGCCTTTGATATAATCTAAGCAATTTAATCTCATGTACAGTGGAGCCGCGGGTTGCAACTGTAATCTGTTCCCGGACTCCGGTCGAGACCCGATTTGGTCATGTCTGGAAGCACGACCGACTGTGCATGCGTGCAGTCAAAAAATGGCGCTAAAGGTAAAATCGGCATGGAAAGGGGATCTTTCCGTGCCAATTTTGTTCGCCACTTGATTTTTGAATTGTGACCCGATTCAAAAATCGGGTGGTTTTGTTCGCCACCTGATTTGAGCATTCATGACCACTGTACATTGAAATTAATACGTCCTCTCATTATATTTACATTTCAGCATTGAAAGCAGATTACCAAAATAGTTTAGCTCAGTTTCAGATATGAGTGGATTACTTACAAAGGTCAACAGTTTTAAATATATATATTTTTAAAAGTGAATATTCCTGATTTCTATATGGCATGCACTGTAAAGAGAAAACATAGCGTAACGACTTAGAGGTTCAGACTGAGCTATGGGATAAACAGGGATTTTCTTTTAGATCACTGAAAACTTTTATCTCATTTATAGAGTCTCAAACTGCCGAAGTGTAATAGTAAGCACATTTATAGATTCCTCGTGCCTCTGCTACAAGGTACACTTTAGACTAGATTTGTTGTTTAAAATTTAATAAGTTATATTTATTATTCTTTGAAAAGGATCCATTTCCCTGAGGTTGGGCAACATTCACATTCAGTAAAATAAAACCCAACTGTCCCAAAATGTCATGAATTGTGACCCACATATTAAAGCAAATCACAAGTGATATTTGCACTTAAACCTAACGTGTGGACGAACAAACATGCATATTGAAAAGATACCATGGTGTTTCTTATCATTTACAATCTCAGTCTTTCCCAAGAACAGTTTATTTTTCTACACTTATTTAATATAGCTTCAAAAATATAACTATTAATACAATTATAGCTAAATGATTTTTTTATTAATTAAAAGTACAAATTCTGAAACTTGAAAAACCCATTACAAATTTTAAAATTTAAAAGCATGAATGAATCAATACTGAGGATGGAGATAGCAAATTCCAAAAAACCCTACTCCCTGATCATGCAGCTGCTGTACACCATATATGGTATGTCTAACAGAAAAGATGCTACTACCGTACATTATTTAAAATATATTTTCTTCCAGGCTCTTCTGCTGTGTTTATGTTGAACCAGCTACAGTTAAGGATGATGACAATATTTATTCTGAAACCACATTTATAGTGTATATGTATTCCTTTTTAGTAATCGCATTTTATGTGGTAACAACTAAACATCTCTTTTCGCAACATGAAACCATGTTAAACAAGTCCATTAATCTTTATAGCAAACTCATTAAACTCTATTCTGAAGCTGATAGGCCCTGCTTCTTTAGTTCATTTAATAATTTTCACTGCTATTTGCATGAACTAAAAACTGCCAGGATCAGTTCATTATCAAGCATAATTCATTTTAAAACTCTTCTGGCAATTCATGATAATCTTGTCAGGTAATGCCAGGTTATTTACTGGAAAGTTCTCTCTCTCACTGCTATTTAATATTATGTCTTCCGAGAAAAATGAAGGCCTCAGTGAAATATGTCAAATAGCAACCAGTTATAACATTATTGTTGAGGAACTATAATGCTCTTGTTTGAAATGACAGGCTCAAATCTTTGTGGAACTAAAACTACAACCCCTGGGAGATTTATTGCAAATGCTGATCTTTAAAAAATTATTAAGCTTTATGAAAACTCAGATGATGTAATATAAATTTTAAATGTTTAAGACTAGAAATATATGCTTCCCTATCCGTCAGTATCTCTAATTAAAGGAATTAATAAAAATATTTTTTTATCTTTCCTAGTCATGCTATATCAGAACTGACTAAAATGTTTCATCTAACTTCCTTTTTCATAAGAAAACACTTAAAAATATTTAGTCTTCAATATTTGTTCTAACGGGAAAAGCAATTTAAAATAAAGTTTTAGGATTATTAGTATTATGTTACATAAATCAATAGTGTATAAAAATTATGGATGTGAAGATAACAAAGATGCGACCAGATTAAACCATCAAGGCAAGACAAACTCAACCTTGATCCCAAAAGAAGAGAATATTTTAGGTTAGGGTTGAACTGTGGGGTCCCTGGTGCCATCTAAACTTGTTTTCTTGCAGACATTACATTACCCAACTAACACCATTACTACTAGAAGTGAGTGAGGTTTGTTCTGTTTATGTACAAGTGTCTTGCCCTGTCAGTGTTGGTAGAAGTGTTCTTAGTGGTTGATGATGTTACCTAGGGTTCCTTACCTTGGGTAATAAAACATCTGTAAAAAAACAAACAAGCTCAGACAGCCCTAAGGATCCTATAGTTCACCTCAATTCTCACACAATCTTTACATGCTCTTCTGTGGGAAGAGATTACCCCTGCATGCACATTGAGAAGAAACTGAACATTTGTCCAAATACTACAGGCTGTTACTGGCCTATTTGCAATGCTAGGTAATTTCATCTTCTGACACTTTTGACAAAAGACATTGATATCAGTTAAACCTTAATTTAACATCAAGCTAAAATTAAATCCATTAGAATTCAGATATTTTTCTTAGCAGGGCAAAAAGCTGCTATTGAAAGCAAAAACATTATTCATTTAAATCAGGGGTATATCATAGTGTTTTCCACTGCTATGTGCAATCTTTTACTTAAATCTTGATAAATTATCTGCAAGGTATTAAAAATATATGGAAAAATTATTTCATTTATGAAGATTAATATATGTTGGCTAAAGGCAGCAGTAAGAAGAATAAAAGAAAGTAATATAATTGCCAAAGGACTTAAGGACCAGAAGGATTTTTTAGCTGGTTTAGTCTCATTGTCACAATCCTGGGTACATACTTTTTGCTTTGAAATTAGCTTTATTTTGGGAGTGAGAATTTTGTTAATCTGATTAATTTCACTTTTGTTCCACACATCTTTTAACACCTGTCCTATTCGAGGATGGATTTCAACCGGCTTAATCATTGGTAACGGTTTTTCCCTTAAAATTTTAACACGTTGACGTATTTCCTCAACTTTCTCCAGAAAGTGAAGAGGAGACTCGTCCTCCTGAAACGATGTATTCAGTGACATTAACTCAAGTTGCTCTTCTCGTATTCCTTTCAACATTTCTAGGAGAGGTTCATATTCTGTCTCAATTTGCATATTTACATCATCCAGAGCTGCAAGTAAAGCTTGTTTTTTCTGATCAAGCGCATCTCCAAGTCTCTTAAAATATTGCAAAACTGTTTTTTTATCCTCCTGAACAATGCTCCCACACTGAGCTTTCTGTTCCTCTAGATTCTGAATAAGCAAACAAACTTCACTCCAATGTTTATCTGTCAACTGCTCAAGGAGTCTTCCAGGAGTTTCTTTTTCTTTCATGTAGGCACTTTGTAGGTCATCTATGGGATGGCCATGATGTTTTCCTATGGTAAGACAATGGCCACACACAAGTTTTCTGTCTAGTAGACAGTAAATATTTAGTGGCTGTCTATAATGCTCACTGCAGGTAGCAACTTCAGGATGATCCTCTTGTTGATACTTTTCAATAATAGCCTTTAATGCAAAGTTTACAGGCAAAGAGTCTGTACCAGATGGAGGAATTTCAACAATACTTCTACAGTTAGGACATTTCAGAGGAAGCCTAAGGGGGCGCCATATGGAAAAATTGCTTGATATCTGAAGAATACTTTCCAAACAATTTCTACAAAATGTATGTGAACATGGCAGTACACGAGGATCATCAAATATACTGTAGCAAATAGAACAAGTTAATTCCTCTTCAAAATAATGCATTTCCTAAAATTTAAAAAAAAAGAATAAAAGTGAGATAGAGACGCACAAAAATAGTTAGGAAAATTTAAAATACTGATAGTTCAAGGAAATTAATTATTACTTGATTTAAATGCAAATAAATCTTTTTAAAAATACAAGCAGAATTAGCCAAAACAATAAATACATGCTTAATTCCCACTTCATTTATTTAGTGTAAGATATTATCCTAATTACTTTTTATCTTTAATATCAATGTTTGTAGCAAGTAGACAAGCAAAAAAATAATCCAAAAATTAACAAGCAATAAGATATTAAGAGGAAATGCTATCAGCTTTGCATGTTACACACATTTCATCATTCATTATCTTTAAAAAAGAGTTAAAATACTAAGCTTTAAGTTTACAGACAGAAAAAATCATGGAATAATAATTTAGGAACATAAAGTGGCAATCTAAGAGAATTCTGCTTTAGTTACTAGAATAGAATAGAATAGAATTCTTTATTGGCCAAGTATGGTTGGACACACTATGTTTTAAATCAAGCTTAATATTTGTGGGTTCAGAGCCTTCAGAGAACAAAAACAATACATAAAACTGCCACTTTAAAAAGAGATAAAAATCCACAAAGAGTTATTAATATCACAAAAACAAGGGCTGTTGTTTTTTTTAACTTTCACCAATAGACACGAATGCCTCTGAAATCCAATTGTTCAATTAAGCAGGAGCAGTCAAGGTTCAACTTGAGGTTGCTTTTGGGCAGCAGTGGGAGGAGAGTGCTGGACAAAATTGATTTAACTACTATACTTATATATTGATGTTTGTAATTAAGCATTGTTCACTTACCTATGGAGCAAACTCTTGATTGTTGCAAGAGTTGTAGCATATTTGACAGAAAGGCAGCTACATTGGATCAATTGTAGTAGCAGTTTCAAGTGTCATATAACTTTCTAGTGGAAAAGTTATTCTGTCCACACCTGCACACTACAGCTAGAACTTTACACAGTACTCTTAAGTAAGACAAGGATTTTCAAATAGAAGTAAACAGGTTTCACAACAGTTCTCAACCCTGCAGCCATATCTCAAGTGTTTTCCGGGATATTCCCACAAGTCAGCACTGGAACCTAGTGTTTCCCCCAATTTTTGTTTACTTTTCAAAAAGCAGAAAAATAAAAATAAATATTGCTATTTCACTCTTCCTACTTTTGGCTCTAAGTTCCATTTGCTTCCATAGAACATAGTGTATTATTAAGAACCTTATCCATGTGATGTCTAACATACCCATAATAACTAAGTCAATGGTGCCCAAGAAGAGGGGAGACACCGCCCTCACATGCAAGTGACTGGCGAACCAATGGAGGACTAAGATATGTGCATGTGCTTACAGCATCAGCCAAGGGTAATATATCAGTATTACTGGCATGCTTATTTCTTGAGGAGGCAACAGATGCAAAACATTTGATAGAAGGTCTAAAGAAACTGGGGTGGAGGATGTTCTGACTTAATGGTTAACTCACACAGACACCATTCCACATGCCTAGTCTATAGCAGGGGTTGCCAACCTTTTAGACCCCAGGGACCACCAAACTCATACTTTTAAATCCTGAGGACCACTAATATGATTTTTTTTAAAAAAAGATGTTTAATATAAATTTTTTATTTTTATATTAAATATAAATGTACTTTTTAAAAACATTAATTTTTAATATATATATATATATACCGTGTTTCTCATATAATAAGGCCGGGTCTTATTTTTTTTTGAGCCCCGAAAAAATGGCTAGGCTGTCTTTTCGGGGGTGACTTAATTCCCCCCCTTGCATCTTTGGGCGGGCGGGCAGCAATGGCTTGGATGTTGACCTTGGCGTTGGTGGGGCACTTCATATTGGGGTCAACGCAGGCAGCACCATATCCAGGTGTGCAACAAAAGTACTTCCTAACGGCAACCATTCCCCCCCCACCATTCCCCCCCATTTCGCATGTTTTAATATAGGCCTTAATTTGGGGGGAGGGGCTTAATTTCATTTCATGCGTATAAAACATGCTGGGACTTCCTATTGGAGGAGGCCGTATTGTTGGAGAAACAGGGTATAAATATATATACACATATATATTAAATATAAAATGCTTATTTAATTATAACAAAAAAAGCAGAGCCCCCTCCCCGCCAAATCTGGTCTCCTGTCATTTTATATCTCCCCCAAGTCAGAGAAAACCTCTCTCTCCTTAGCCAGGTGTGGCTATCTGGAGTTGGGGGAGAGGAGGGCCAAGCTGGAAGCCCCCCCCCCCCCCCCCCGGTCTTTAACACCCGGCTAGCTTCTCCACTACTGCCTCCTCCTCCTCCAGCACCTCCTTCTCCAGGTAGGGTGATTATGAACAAGCTGAGTGGCTACACTGATACCCCAGCTGCTCTTTTTTTCCCGTGGTAAGACTTGGCGTGTGGAGAAAGGTGCTGGCAGCTGCTACTTGGCAGTCCTACGGGTGAGTCATCCCAGTCCCAGTTGACATACCAGTCACAAACCCAGAGTCCAAGCCGAGAGGGCTCGCTTCCCCCTGCCGGGAAGAAAGGCAGGCGCGGGCACACATGGTTCAGCACAGCGGGCAACCTCCATTCTGGGCTGATGAGCCACGTGCTGAAGACCAGATGGCTGTCGGGAAGGTGGAGCAACAGGGGTGATACGGCAGCGGAAGGACTCATACGCGTGGGAGATTGTGGCATAGGCCTGGCCTGCAAGGGGGTGGGGGGGAAGGAACCTCTGAAGTTGTGTTACCTTCTGTCTCTTGCCTCCATGCATCGAGGAGGTTGAGTCGCTGCCAGTGATGCCCTCAAGGGAAGATGTTGCAAGGGGGAGGCTTGACCCCCCCCAGGAGCTTCTCTTCCTCCTCGCCAGAAGCACTCACACGCAAAGCGCTCGCCGCCCCTCTGGCGAGGAGGAAGAGAAGCTCCTGAGGGCAGGGGCATGGGAGATCGCAGTATCGGAGCTCTTCTTGGGTGTTTCCTGGCCTGTGAGGGGAGGACACGATCTCCTGCACTCCCTCCCAGGAGCTTCTCTTCCTCCTCGCCAGAAGCACTCACAAAGCGCTCACCGCCCCTCTGGCCCCCAACAAGCCTCCTCCTTCCTACTCAGCTTGTGAGCGCTTCTGGCGAGGAGGAAGAGGGGGTCGAGCCTCCCACTTGCAACATCTTCACCTGAGGGCAGCTGCTTCCTGCGGCTCAGGTCCGCGCTCTTCCTGCTGCTGCTTGCCTCGATGAGCTGAGGCAGGAGGCAGCAGCCATGACACGGGTTTGCTAAGGAGACTGCAGGATTGCCCCACCTCAGCATGCTGCAGCCCATCAAAATTTTCTCACGGCCCACTGGTTGGCAACCGCTGGTCTATAGCATACAGCTTCCCCAGAAAACATAATTTATAGTCTTTGCTGATCTCCCTCCTAACCTCTCTCCTGAGGTGGATTCAGCTGAGAGTGACTAACCCAAAGACACCCAGCCAACTTTCATGCTTAAAGTGTGACTAGAACTCAATCTCATGGTTTCTAGGTCAGTACCTTTATCAGTAGTCCTCAGTCTCAATCTCCAAGCATCGAAATGTTTGACTGCAAGTCTCAAAATTCCAAACCACAATGACAAAATGAACTTATAAACAATTATTTGTTGTAAAGAACAGAAGACTAAGAAAAGCTGTTTTCATATTCCCAACGAAGCTTCATTTGGGAATATTTTGTCAGTGTATGATCTCTGTTTATTGGTGATGGCCAACAGTACAGATAGGCTTAAAAGGACAAATTAATGGAAGATCCAACTGGAACGTATTAACAAGAGAGATCAGAGCAGTAAAAAGCAACTCTGAAAAGTTAAGGAATCAGTTCCCAACAAATGAACCAGCAAACATGTGGAAAACTCTTAAAAACATCACTGGCCACAGCAAACCTCCTTCCTAGGAAGAAGGAAATGAACAACTAGCAGATGACCTTGAATCTGTTTTACTACAGGTTTGAAAGGAAACTACAGCCACCTATCTCCACAAACCCCATCTCAAGCACACCAACAACAGCCAAGCCTTCTACAACTGTCCCCAACCCATTGGGTTCACAACTCCTGGTGATCACAGAAAAAGAAGTGCAAGATCTATTACACAGACAAAAGCCAGGAAAAGCCCCCCAAGGCTGTGTGCTTTCTCCACTTCTCCCTATATACCAATGACTACATCTCAAATGACCCATCTGTTAAAACACTGAAGTTAGCAGATGATACAACAGTAGCCTCATTCGAGACAACAACGAATCTGCATACAGACAGGAGGTTGTACAACTTGCCTCATACGTAGTGTAACCGGAACAATCTGGAACTGAACACACTCAAAATCAAAGAAATGGTGAGACTTTAGGAGAAACCCTCTCATACCACAACCTCTTACAATACTAGACAACACAGTATCAACAGTAGAGACCTTCAAATTTCTAGGTTCTATCATAGCACAAGACCTAAAATGGACACCTAACATCAAAAAAGCACAACAAAGAATGTTCTTTCTGTGCCAACTCAGAAAATTCAAACTGCCCAAGGAGCTGCTGATTCAGTTCTACAGAGGAATTACTGAGCCTGTCATCTGCACCTCTATAACTGTCTGGTTTGGTTCTGCAACCCAACAAAACAGACACAGACTTCAAAGAGTAACTAGGGCTGCAGAAAAAACAATTACAACCAACCTGCCTTCCATCGAGGATCTGTATACTGCACAAATCAAAAAGAGAGCTGTGAAAATATCTACAGACCGCTCACGTCCTGGACATAAACTGCTATAGAGCAGTGCACACCAGAACAACTAGACACAAGGACCGTTTCTTCCCGAATACCATCACTCTGCTAAACAAATAATTCCCTTAACACTGCCCAACTATTTACAAAGTCTGCACTACCATTACTGTTAATCTTCTCATCACTCCTTATCACCCATCCTCTCCCACTTGTGACTGTATGACTGTAACTTTGTTGCCTGTATCCTTACGATTCATATTGACTGTTTCCTAGTATGATTTAATTTCTTATTGTACCCTAGGACTATTATTAAGTTGTACTTTATGATTCTTTACTCTTGACAAATGTATCTTTTCTTTTATGTACACTGAAAGCATTTGCACCAAGATAAATTCCTTGTGTGTCCAATCACACTTGGGCAATAAAGAATTCTATTCTATTCTTAAAAAAAAAAAAGAACAGCTATAAATTTTGAAGGCTCACAGATAGAAAATTACCAATGGTAGAAAAGAACTATAGGCAGTCCTCAACTTACAATCATTTGTTTAGCAGCCACTTAAAGTTAGAATGGAACTGAAAAAAAGTGAACTTTGACTGGTTTTCACACTTACTACCATTGCAGCATCTCCATGATCACATGATCCAAATTTGGATGCTTGGCAACTGGCGTGTATTTATAACCGTTGCACTGTCCTGGGATCATGTGATCACCATTTGTAACCATCCCAGCTGATTCCAATAAGCAATGGGGGAAGCCAGATTTGCTTTAATGATAGACTTAAAATAACTTCATTGTCACTTTGAATGTACATTAATCAGCATGCATTAAAATGAAATTTTAATCACGATTCCCTTAAGAACAGTGATTCATTTAAAAACTCACAAATAAAGGACATAAAATGGGGCAAAACTCACTTAAATGCTTTCCCTAGCAATGGGAATTTTGGACTCAATTGTAATCATAAGACGAAGACGCCATATACTGCTTACAAATTCTCTGATTATATATCTCTAATTTGGCCAGGACCACCCAGAAAAAGCCAACTGATACTGATCCCAAATTAAACCAAAAGGAGGGAAGAAAACGGAAAAGTATTCTTACCAGTTACACCTGCTGGGATCACCTCTTCTCCACTCAGTTAGAGCATCTTGTCTAAAGAGACAGTCACCAGAAGAAAAACTGAGACAGGGCGAGAGGAGATAAGCCCAAGGGCAAGGATGCTGACCATCCCTGCCTTTAAGTAACTTGTCAGCTCCAGAAAACAAAGGCGACCCCAACTGCAATTGAATACATATAGAGACGAACCACCTCAAAGATTGCTTTTTCCAAGGGACAACCTAGACTTTCTTCGTTTTTCTTTGAAGACGTTTCGCTTCTCACCCAACAAGCTTCTTCAGTTTCTAAGAGCTGAAGAAGCTTCTTGGATGAGAAGCGAAACGTCCTGAAGGAAAAAAAAAAGAAAAAGAAAAAGAAAGAAAGTCCAGTTCCCTCTTGAAAAAGCACCTTTGGGACAACGCTGACCTGGATGACTGAGCATCTCCATTAACATTTAGAGACGAACAGCCATCTTCCGATAAAACCTCCCCTTCGCAAACGAGCTCGAACTCTTTCAAAATCACCTCCGTCCCTCTCTGCTCACAGGCCACTGAGGAGCCGAATAAACAGGCACCGTCCCTCGCCTCGTTCTTGAGCGCCCATTTCCCACAAACCCCCCGCCGTCGGAGTTCACCTCAGCCTCCCGCCGGATTCCCGAACCGCCAAGCAGGCCGCCGGTCCCCCCAAACTTCTCTTGCCGCGGCGAAGGAGCTCCCCCACCGGAGACAGCATCGGCGGCCTCCTAAATGAGGCTCCAATCAGAAGCAACAGGAAAGGAGAAAGGAAACGGCCGGCCGCTTCGCTGCTGCGCAGGCGCCGAAAGAAGCCGAGCGGCCTCAAGCCAATCAGAGTTTTCGGAAGGTTTCGTTCAAAAAGGAAAGGATCGAGGCGGGAGAGTGGGCTGCGAGGCAATTCACCGCGAGATGGCTGTTAACGGTTGCCCGGGTGGGCGGGTGCTGGAACGTAATTTGCATCTCTTTGGCCCCGCTTTTAACCGCCCGAGGCTGTTTTTCTCCTGACGATTGTCTGGAAGACTAAGAAACAAAACGCTCGGGTCTGTCTTTCAAACGTTCGAGATTTTAAAATGAGGCAGAAATTCCACGCGCGTCCGAAAGCACGCCGAGATGCTGCAACGTTTGTCTGGTTAAGTATGGTATGGTGGTGATCGGTAGCACTGCAACGTAACAGTTTGCCAGGCGCGCCTCTTGCTGCTGAAGGCTGGATCTGACACCTGGATTGCTCCAACAAGAGCTTAGGTGATGCACTAGGAGCAGCGAGACCCGGGTTCAAGTAGTGTCACTTCACTGAGATGCTTTGGGCCGGTCATGCTGTCTGAGTCCAAGCTATCCCACTGGGGTGTTTACGGAAAAATCCCCTAAAGGATGAAAAGCTAAAAAAACAAAGCCTCTCTTGACTGGCATCCTTGATAATTTTTGTAAGTATAGTCAATTGTTAAATTAATTTCACCTTTTGCAATGATTTTATTGAGGATTATATGAAATAGATAACACATGCAAAAAAAAATCCTAACAAAACAATACATTAAAGGGAAAAAAATAGGAAGTGCAGAACCCTTCCCCACCACCACCACCACAAGAGGAAAAACTAATTAAGGAAAAGAATTAAGCAACATTGTTCAACATTAGCAATTTAGCACTGTCTGTTAAAGTACAATCAGCTACATCTTCATTCCATATTCTGTTCAATTTTATATAAAATAGTCTCTAAATCCTGTTTGTTTTGTTAATGAGCAAACAATCAGTGCTGACCCAAACATCTAGCAAAATGTTTTTCTACTTTTTAAAATCTAATCCTAATGACTGTCTATAATAGGGGTGTCAAACTCAATTTCATTGAGAGCCACATCAGAGTTGTGTTTGACCCTAGGGGGCAGGGGGGCGTGGCCAGCTCAATGTCACCTGTGTTAGGTGCTTATGGACACCTGAGTGCTCTGCCAGTGAAAATGAGCTCTGTTTTCGGCTGCAACTGCCTCCTGCAACCCTCTGCCAACCCTCCTGAGCTCCGTTTTCACTGGCAGAGGTACCACAGGTCGGTCCTTAGTTTTTTCCAGAGCAGCCCTACGGCCAGATTCGGCCTGCGGGCCTTGAGTTTGACACTCCTGGTCTATAATAATAATCCAATTTCAACAAATGCTACAGAAATGTTAAACATTATTGGAAATAACTTTTTATATTGAAAGTACTAACAGATATTACAGACTAACCTATTTTACCCAATTAAACATTTCCAAAGTGAAAACTATTCAGTCAAAATAGCTATTAAATCTCATGAAAGATAGCAATGTGTTATGGTTCGTTGCAGTCAGCCAGATGTTCAGACTGGATTTGGCATTTTTATCCACCTATCAAGTCCTTCCCAAGGGCCTGGGATAGGCAGATGTAGAGGTTTGAGGGTGCTGAAGGTAACCTTGAAGGATGTAAGCCATTCCTAGTGTAGCTGCTTTTTGAAATTGGCAAGAATGGTTTTGTCAATGCCAGTGATGTTGAAGTGGTGCTCCAGTTCTTTTGGGATTGCACCCAAGGCACCTACTGCTTACAATTGGTATCATCTTTGTTTTCTTTTGCCACACTCATTCCATTTCTATTTGCAGGTCCTTGTAGTTTGTTATCTTCTCCAATACTTCCTCTTCTGTCTTCAGGTACTACTGCCACATCCACTATCCAGAGTTTTTTGTCTCATCAACAGTTAAGTCCGAGGTGCTATGTAGCAGGTACCTGTCTGTTTGAATTCTAAAGTCTCAAGAGCAATTCAGTTTCTTAATTTGGGGGGGGGGGGGGGGAATCAGATTCAGAAAAAATGTGAAAATGTAAGACTCAGAAACAATAGTAAAACAGGAGAAAAAAAACTCAGATTTTTTTTATGATGCTGTAATCCCTTGCTTTGGGATCAGGGCAACTGAATGGAGCTGAGCATTTACTGGCCGTTTGCCCTTCCTGACACCTAAGCAGAGTTCACAGCAGATACTTTCTGTTTGCACCCGGATAGAGAAACATCTGTTGCTGCCTAAGGGTGACTCTCTCAACCTTTTGAGTAGGAAGCGAGACTCTTCACCTCTAGGCTACCACACTGTTCTGCTGAGGTGGTAAAATAAGCTCAGATAACAGAAGAAACTGCTGATATGAACTACAGAAATGAAAAAGTCAAATGAAGAAAAGCATACATTGGTTGATTATGTAAAAGATAGCCAAGCACAAGTGTTGATGCAAGTTAAAAACTAGACCTTAATGAACAGGACCCAAAACATGAATATCAAAATAATAACATGAACAGAATGTTGGCAAAGAAAAGCATATCAAGGAGAAGATAAAACCTGGCAATGCCTCACAACTGGAACATTAAAAAAAACCCTGAAGCCTTGACTGGGGCTGCTCAAGAGCAAACTATTCTAAATATAGCAATCAAAACCAAAATTGAAAAATAATTATTCAAAGTGCAAAGATGCAAAAGAGGCACAAACCGACTATAACAACAACGTAAGTCAACAACATAACAGTCATCAAAAGTGTTCATTTGAAAATCTGTAAAAAATTATCATGTGCCAGTAATTAAAAATTGGTAGGAACATATGTTGAAAAAGTAGTAAAATTGAGCATTGTAAAATATTGTGGGATATCTAAATACAAACTGATAAAAGTTTTGGCATATAACATACCAGGTTTAACTGGCTGGAAGGAAAGAACTAGATTATTGATGTGGTAATAGTAGGGCTTAGTAGAAGACTGGTGAGACTCATCTCTGGGGGTCAATGAGTCTGCCTATTGAGATGAGGTGAACCAGTTGCTTTCATGGTATGGAGACAATAACTTGGTCCTTAACACCAATAAAACCAAGATCTTACAGTAGACTATAGAAGGAATAGATCAGACATGTGTGTGCTTATCAATGGAGACCGAGTGGAATAAGTGGCCATTTTTAAGTTTCTGGGTGTTACAATAAAAGAGGGCCTGACCTGGGGCACTCATATTGCAGCACTAATCAAAAGAGCCCCACAGAGATTATACTACCTGAGAGTTTGCAGGAAGGAACAACTGAATGAAAAACTGCTGGTGACCTTCTACCATTGCACCATAGAGAGTATTTTAACTTACTGCACCTGTGTATGGTTTGCCAATTGCACAGTGGCAGATAGGGCAGCACTCCAGAGGGTTAACATTGCCCAGAGGATCATTGGTTGCCCTCTCCCCTCTTTGGAAGAGCTTTATAGCTCCTGCTGCCTTAAAAAAGTTCAAAACATTCTCAGATCCTTTTCATCCTGGGCACCCTTTTTTTTTTTTTTTGAACTATTACCATCTGGCAGAAGATACAGGATAATAAAAACAAGGACAAATAGGCTGAAAAACAGCTTCTATCCCAGGGCAGTAACTACATTGAACTCTACTGTATAGTGCAATATTAATGCAATATCGGGTTTTCAGTTCAATTGTATAGAATGTGAAGGATGTGTGTTTGTGCTTTATTTTTATAGGTATAATGTACACTGAAGATGGCATTTAATTTCATTGTACAAGGTGCAATGACACTGCACCTTGGAGAAGATACAAACTATCAAGATCTGAAAACTGAACTTGAAAGATTAACATAAACCAGTCATGGTGGTCCCAGTGGTTATTGACATATCAGAAACTCTTGGATGGTTCTTTGTACATTGACAAAGTTTCTCTTTCAATTACAAAAGGCTGCTTGGATCTGCACATATACTGATACATTATATCATATGTTCAAAACTGTAAAGGTAAAGGTTCCCCTTGCGCATACGTGCTAGTCATTTCTGGCTCTAGGGGGCGGTGCTCATCTTCGTTACAAAGCCGAAAAGCCAGCGCTGTCCGAAGATATGTCTGGTCATGTGGCCAGCATGACTAAATGTCGAAGGCGCACAGAACACTATTACCTTCCCACCAAAGTTGTCCCTATTTTTCTACTTGCATTTTTACATGCTTTGGAACTGCTAGGTTGGCAGAAGCTGCGACAAGTAAAGGGAGCTCACTCTGTTATGCGGTGCTAGGGTTTCGAACTGCTGACCTTTCTGATTGACAAGCTCAGCATCTTAGCCACTGAGCCACCTTGTCCCTAAGATGCTCCCAAAATGGCACTTGCTTCTGGAACGGCACATGGCGTACATGTTTTGGAAAGGTGATTTCTGAAGATCACCTTTTGGAAAGCGTACCCAGCTGATACATTGTGCAGCCTTCCTATACAGTAGCTGCCATCCTAGAAGCTGATACCATTTTGGAAGAGGCCACAATTCTTTCGATCTGTGAATTATGGCTAATTCCAGAATGGCATGAAGTGGCTTTGTATAAGGCTGTGTGGTACATTGGCTGGGCACTCTTTGGAAGAGGTAATGGAGCAAGGCATGGCAGGGAAGAATCCAAGGGTGTGGGACTTAGCTGGGCAGGAAACAGGCACAAGGCCTGTGGGAACCCAGTTGAATGAAAGAAGGCCCAATGGACCCAGTTGGGCGGGGTGGAGGCAATTTCAGTGTTTCTAAGCAGCCGGATTACCAAATGCCCAAACTATAATCACATTATTGGGGGAGGGGCATTGCAGCAATCATAACTCAGGATATAGATAGTAAACTGAACTAATGTTCTTAAATTGAGGACTTCCTGAGCTTAGTTTTGCTTTTTCAGTGTTGAATTTCATATGTGCCATCTTTCAAGTAAAAGATCTAGAATCTTAAACAGTAGATGAGATTACATTTTAGTCAAGTTAGCTTA